AATGCTCAAATTGGGGGTACTCTGATGCTAATTCAACTGGTTTGCCTATTGATTGGAGATCAAGTTCAGGATATTGTGTCTTTCTTGGTGGTAACCTTGTATCCAAGAAATGCAAAAAGCAAAATGTGGTTGTGCAATCCAGTACAGAAGTTGAGTATAGAGTCATAGCAATGGTCACTTGTGAACTTAATTTACTTCATGAGTTGAAGTTTGGAAATATTGATCATATGAAGTTATATTGTGATAAACTGATAATCAAGTTGCTTTACACATTGCATGAAATGCACTTTTCCATGAAAGGACCAAGTATATAGAAATTGATTGTTACTTTATCGGGGAGAGAGTTCTCTCTAAGGAAATTATCATTGAATTTGTTAATTCTAATGATCAACTTACTGATGTTCTCATAAAGTTGTTGTGGAGACCTCAAATACATTTCATCCTTGGAAAGTATCTTCTATTTAGGGAAACTCTTCATATATCTCCTATTTAGGGATTGTTTATACTTAAGATTTGGTCAGTATTATTATTTTCATTAATCTTCAAATTTCCTTATCTTCTTAGCATGCTAATATTAAAGATTGTAAATTCCTAGCTTCCAACTATTAGAAATTATAAATCATGCCTAAAAAAAAGGTGCTACAGAGGATTGTGTTGTAAATAATAGTATTTTCATACAATAGCTGTAGCTGATGGCTCACATACATCAGTTGCGAGTTCCGGTAACATATTTACAGCCTTCCTTACATCTCCAAAATGTTCTTTATGTTCCCAAACTCTCCACTAATCTTCTTTCTATCCATAAAATTACCAAAGATTTGAATTGCACTGTAACTTTCTTCCTTATTCACTGCGTTTTTTCAGGATCTCGCCACAGGGAAGACGATTGGGGGTGCTAAAGAGCAAGGTGGGTTGTACTATCTGGTGCCAAAATCTTCTGCAAAGTATGCTAAGATCACACCTTGTTGACTCAGTCTCAGTCTATTGCCGACTCTTTGATTTGGCTCCATCATAAACGCTTCGGGCATCCTCCATTTGTTTGCTTAAGTCTTTTGTAAAGAACCTTGAGATACACCACCCCAAAAACTAGCTCAAAGGGTGGGAGTGCCCAAGGTCTTATAAAGGCCACATTAGTTGCACATACAACCAATGTGGGACTATATATCTCAACACGCCCCCTCACACGAGAGCCCATTGGGCTTGAAGAGTGGACAATGCAACAGGCCCAGCCTACCTGTGCTAAGAAACTCCACAAGAGAAAGTGAGGAGCGGCGAAGCTCTGATACCATGTAAAGAACCTTGAGATACACCACCCCAAAAACTAGCTCAAAGGGTGGGAGTGTCCAAGGTCTTATAAAGGCCACATTAGTTGCACATACAACCAATGTGGGACTATATATCTCAACATCTTTATTTCCATAATTATTTTTGTCTAAGTTTGTTGAGTGTTTTCATTGTGATGTTTGTCAGTTTGCTAAACATCATCGTGTCTCTTTTCCTTCTAATACCATTAAAACTGTTGAGCCTTTTGATCTTGTTCATTCTGATGTTTGGGGTTCTTCTAAAGTTCCTCATACTTCTGGTAATAAATGGTTTGTTTCTTTCATTGATGATTGCACTCGTGTAACCTGGGTTTATTTAATGCATGAAAAATCTGAGGTACCACAGTTATTCTTTCGATTTTATAAAATGATTGAGACCTAAATTGGAAAAAGAATTAAAAGGCTAAGGTCTGACAATGGTACCAAATATGTCAATCAGTGTCTTTCCAAATTTATCCAAGATCAAGACATGATTCATGAACTTACTTGTGTGGACACCCCTCAACAAAATGGAGTTGCTGAGAGAAAGAATTGTCATCTTCTTGAAGTTGCTCGTGCCTTACTTTTTCGAAATCATGTACCCAAATGCTATTGGGGAGATGCCATTCTTACTGCAGCTTTCTTAATCAACCGTTTGCCCTCTCGGGTCCTTGACAATGTAAGTCCTATTCACTCAATGACTTCATTCTTTCCCTCTGTTCCCTCTATGCAGAGTCTTCAGCCACGAGTGTTTGGGTGTGTTGTCTTTGTCCACGTTCATAAACATCTTCGCAGTAAGTTGGATCCTAGTATCTTCCTTGGTTATGCCTCTGATAAGAAAGGCTACAAGTGTTATCATCCTGCTAGTCGGAAATTCTTTGTCCCAATGAATGTCACATTTCATGAATCTGAATCCTTTTTCCCAAGTCCTTATCTTCAGGGGAGAGCAGTTCTTCAGTAGATTCATCACCTTCTATCTTTGAGTTTGGACCTTCCATGCCTTCTCCTACACCTCTTCCTCATGTTTCTGATTATTTTGTGTCTGACCCATCTGATACACCGAAAATACGGAGGATTGTGACACCTAAGTTGCTATATCACAGGAGAAAGCAGCCCACACTACTTCACCAGCAACCTCAATTGTCTGAACCACTGGTAAGTCCTGAATCTTTTGTTTCTGATTCTAATATTATTACTTCTCTTGTTTCTGAACCTAATATTGTTGCATCTAATGATTTGCCTGTTGCTTCTGATAGCTTACCCAGTTCCTCTGATGACTTACCTATTGCCCTAAGAAAAGGAAAAAGATCTTGTACCCAACACCCTATCTCTCATTTTGTCTCTTCTACTAACCTTTTTGTGCAGCACAAAAACTTTATTTCAGCACTAGATTCTATCTCAATCCCAAAATCAGTACATGAAGCATAAAAAGATGAGAATTGGGCTCGAGCCATGCAAGATGAGATGAATGCCTTGGAAAAAAATAAAACATGGGAGGTTGTTGATAGACCTAATAGAAAGAAAGCAGTAGGGTGCAAATGGGTTTATGCCTTGAAATATAATTCTGATGGTACTCTTGAGAGATATAAGGCTCGATTAGTTGCCAAGGGCTACACTCAGACCTATGGCATTGATTATGAAGAAACATTTGCCCCAGTTGCAAAGATGAATACTGTGAGAGCTTTGTTGTCCCTTGTTGCCCATTACAACTGGGATATGAATCAATTTGATGTGAAAAATGTTTTCCTTAATGGTGAGTTAGAAGAAGAAGTCTACATGAAAATCCCACCTGGCTTTGGCTCTATGGATGAAGGAAATAAAGTTTGCAGGTTAAAAAAGGCCTTGTATGGATTGAAACAGTCTCCTCGTGCCTGGTTTGGGAGATTTACTAAGGTTATGCTGGTCTTAGGATATAAACAAAGTCAAGGAGATCACACACTATTCTTCAAGCACTCCCAAAATGGGAAGCTAACTATACTCCTTGTATATGTTGATGATATTATTATAACAGGTGATGATATTGCTGACAAAACATTTTCTACAAGCACGGCTAGCCTCTGAGTTTGAAATTAAAGATCTTGGGAGATTGAAATATTTCCGAGGGATAGAGGTAGCTCATTCAAAGGAAGGAATTTTTATCAGCCAGAGGAAATATGTCTTTGATCTTCTTAAAGAAGCGGAAAAACTTGGGTGTAAACTCTCTAGTACTCCTATTGAACAGAATCACAAGATGGGTTATGAAGAGGACAGTCCTCCAGTTGATAAAGGACAATATCAACGGTTAGTTGGGAGACTGACATATTTGGCTCATAATAGACCAGATATTGCTTATGTTGTCAGTATTGTAAGTCAGTTCATGCATAATTCAAAAGAAAAACACATGCAGGCAGTGGAGCGAATTCTTCAATATCTTAAAGTCACTCCTGGTAAAGGACTGTTGTTCCGGCATAATAGCAATATCTCTTTAAAAGTTTATCCAATGCTGATTATGCTGGATCTGTAACTGATCGTCGATCTACCACTGGTTATTGTATGTTTCTTTGTGGTAACCTAGTGACATTGAGGAGTAAGAAGCAGGACGTGGTTGCTAGATCGAGTGCTGAGGCTGAATTTCGAGTTATGGCTCAAGGCGTTTGTGAATTATTGTGGTTGAGAATTATACTTGGTGATCTTAAAATAAGATATGAAGGACCTATGAAGTTGTTTTGTGATAATAAGTCTGCCATTTGTATAGCTCATAATCCAGTTCAACATGATCGGACTAAGCACATTGAGGTCGACGGCCATTTTATCAAAGAGAAGCTTGATAGCGGGTTGATCACCACTCCATACATCCCTTCTGGACGTCAATTAGCTGATATTCTAACAAAAAGACTTCCCTCAGAAAGGTTTCAAGAGCTTACTAGCAAGCTGGGAATGATAAATATATATTCCTCAGCTTGAGGGGGAGTGTTGTAAATAATAGTATTTGTTTATTTATTTTCATTCTAGAATCTTCTTTGGGCTTAGCCCATTAGGTTATTTAGTCTTTTTAAATAGAGAGCAATTGTACAGATGTAATATATAATTTTATCAATAAGACTATCTCTTTTTTCAACTGATTGTTTTGAACAATTCAAAAATCTCTTTAAAATTTCACCTTGAGGACAAGGCGAAACCTTTACGACATCGTGTAAGCCAACTAAGACAGTTGGGAATTGATTGAGAGAGAAAGTTAGAGGAGAGACCAGGTCTCTTGAAAACTTGGAACAAAAGGGTAAGTGCATCTACACTATCTTAGTATCTTCATTCTCTCGTCTCTGATCTTGTATTCTGTTGACCTTGATACAGATCTAAAAATAGAGATTTTCTGTCAATAAACAATGTTTTTCTTTTTACATTCTGCTCCAGTTCTATCAAAATCCTCTTTTTTTATTTTATCTCCGTGATTACATTCTAGTTTTTCATGCAACTGGGTCCGTTGGATCAGCACACTTACAAAGAACGTAGTTTTGAGAAACGCCCTTCTAAGAGTAAATCAATACAACTTTAACATACAAATAATTAAAAAGAATTCAATTTTTTTTTTCTAATAGAAAACCTATAAATTGGTGCGAGGCATATTACAAGTATTTCATATATAGCCAATGGATATGATAACATAAAATGTAAACAGCACATATCAAACATGAATATAGCTAGTGTGTATGTTATACTTACTAAGGCTCAGATCAGATTGTGGGTCACAATCATACTGATCTCTGTAGTGCCTTAGGGTGTAGAAGGACCACCTTCGTAACTCAGGCAAAGGCATAACTATTTGCACATCTTCAGAAATAAGTTGCTTAAAATCCTTATCAGGGGAGGCAATCACCACTCGAAACCCTTTATTGAGAACTTGTCCCGCAAGTGTAGCTACAACATCATCGGCTTCATGGCCATCAACTTTTATAACCTGCATGCTTTAATCTTGTCACTAATGAATAATGTGATTGAATAAAAGTTAAAGGAATGATAATTCACATAATCTTCCAAAATTATTGATAAACATTAACGGTAACAATAATTTCCATATTGATACTTATCTGTAATTATAATATAATACACTCACTAGTCGGGTTTAATGGGGAGTGGTTTATGTTTATGTTTATGTTTATTAAGATAAAAAATCAAGACAAATGGCACCAACTGGTGTTGTCGCCATGTGACCCTGGAGGTCACAAATGCAAATCATGTAATCAGCATCTTGCAAAATGCAAGGTAAGGCTACCTATTAGATCCACACAATGGATCTAACCCTTTCCTGGACCCTGCGCAGAGTGTGAGCTTTATAATACCAGGTTATCCCATTTTTCATAAATAAAACCAGTGAAGCAACTGTACAATCATGACTAAGGTAGACATGTGACAAAAAAGAGCAAATTAATGTTCTCATTTCCTGTCAGAAAATTGTATCATATTTTAAGAGATTTTATTGTTTTAATATTCACAACTACGACATTTAAAATTATTACTTCAATTCTCATAATTTTTTATTTTACAGGTCACTTATTATTTGTTACAAATTGATAGGATTAAACTCTTTCTATCCAAAAATAGGGAGAAAACTGTATATTAACTGTATACTAACTATAAAACAAATAACAATTAGCTAAATCTGTATTCTCTCTCCAATCGCGCATGCACAATCCACGCAGATTCCTCCAAGTCATCATTTCCTCTGCTCCTCCACTTTGTTTTTGGGCCTCCTCTGATATACTATCAATGGGTCAGATCCCTTCTTCCGAACGGGCTTTGGATCAGCCAATGATTCAGCCACTATACCATTCTCATTCCTATCAATACCACCAGCTCTTGAAACTGCCTTGTCCTCAAGGCAAAATTCAGGAAACCAACCTCTAATGTCACTTTCCTGCTCCCAGGTAGCCTCCTCAAAGGTTTGGATTTCCGCAGAATAAGCCACTCCTCACAAGTCTTTCCTTGATCCACCGAACTGCGAAATGCCAATACAGATTCAGGTTCAAGAGAACGTGAATCATCCGTAGCCAATTCTGAGGGCAGATTACCCTCTACCACCACATCTCCAACAACTCTTTTCAATTGTGAAACATGAAAAATAGGATGAATCCGGGCAAATTCTGGAAGCAGCAACTTGTATGCAACAGCTCCTATTTTTTCCACAATCTGAAATGGGCCATAAAAACATGCAGAGAGCTTGGGATTATGCGTCGAGAAACTGAATTCTGACGATGAGGGCGTAGCTTCATATAAACCCAATCTCCTATAGCAAAAACCACATCTTCTCAATGGGCATCAGCCTGGCGCTTCATAGAATTCGGAGCATGTAGAAGATGATGTTTGAGTTGGCGCAAAGCCTCATCCTTGTCATACAAAACCCTCGCCACGGCATCTACCTGAGTTTCACCTGCCAAGTAATGCACAATATTGGGAGGGGGTCGTCCATAAACCACAGCAAAAAGGGTAGTATTAGAAGAGCTATGATATGATGTATTGTACCAAAACACTACCCAAGACACCCACAATGACCACTGCTTCGGCTGTTCAGAGGCAAAACAGTGAAGGTAAATCTCCAAACAGCGGTTAACCACCTCAGTTTGCCCATCGATTTGAGAATGGTAAGACGTACTCATACGTAATGTAGTACCCCGCAAGCAAAAAAGTTCCTTCCAAAAATTGCTAAGGAATAGAGGGTCACGTTCACTTAAAATGGAGCAAGGCAACCCGTGTAAACAAATAATTTCCTTGGCACATAATTCTGCAACATGTTTGGCTGAAAACGGATGCTTGAGCAGCAGAAAATGGGTATATTTTGACAGCCTATCTACAACCACCAAAATAACTTCAATCCCTGTGATTGCAGTAAACCCGTAATAGAGTCCATGGAAACATCCTCCCAAATCAATTAAGGGATCGGAAGGGGCTGTAGAAAACTTGTTGGTGCTAAGGTTTCATATTTATGGCATTGGCAGATATCGCAAGCCTTCACAAAATTCATTACTTGCTTATGCATTCCCCTCCGAAAAACACCATTTGCCAGCCATTTATAGGTTTTTGTGAACCCCGAATGTCCACCTGCAGGAGTAGTATGAAATTCTTGTAGCAAATTAGGAATAAGAGAGGATTTAGAAGACAACAACATACGCCCCTTATAAAACAAAAGGTCGCCTTGCAAAGTATAGTCATGAGGAGCATTCTGCCCAGATTTAATAGCTGAAATCAGATCCTGCAACTCTGAATCCTCCTTATATCCATCCTTAACTTTACTCAGATCTAACCAGTATGGAGTGGAAACTATACTCGACAGTTACATAGGTTCCATTACCCGGGACAGCGCATCAGCCGCTTTGTTCTCGAGTCCAGGTTTGTAAACAACTTCAAATTCATACCCCATTAATTTGGACAACCAACAGTGTTGATCTGAAGTTGTAATACGCCGAGTAAGTAAATGTTTGAGGCTTTTATAATCAGTATAAACAATAAATGGTCTACCCAACAGATAGGGCCTCCAATGCTGAATGGATAATGCAAGAGCCATAATCTCCTTCTCATACACAGATTTGGCCAGATTACGTGAAGCTAAAGCCTTGCAAAAAGAGGAAATACGTTTGCATCAGAACTGCTCCTATACCCAAACCAAAAGCATCGCATTCAATCACAAATTCTTTGGAAAAATTTGGTAAAGCCAACACTGGAGCAGAAGTCAGAAGCACTTTTTAATTTGTCGAAAGTCGAATTAGCAGCTTCAGTCCATAAAAACCCATCCTTCTTAGTTATCTCAGTAAGCTGTTTAGCAATTTTACCATAATACTTGATGAAACGACGATAGTAGCCGGTAAGACCAAGGAACCCGCAAACTCCTATAGCATTCATAGGTTGAGGCCAATCTAAAACAACTTGAATTTTGGAAGGGTCCATGGCTACCCCTTTGATCGAAATGACATGCCCCAAATACTCAATGGAGGTTTCACCAAACAAACATTTTTTTGATTGGACTACTAACTGATGTTCTTGTAACAGTTGCAACACATCAGTTAAATGGGATATATACCCAGGAAGGACTATAAACCGAAGTATCATAAAAAAAAAAACAGTCTAGCGAGCAGTTGCTTGAGTGAGAAGGAAAAGCTTGCGGGCTTGCTCGCTTAAGCAAGCAGCCTAGTGAGCTAATTATGGAGATGGCAATAGCTATTGTCTAGTTGGGAATTTGCTCGCAACCATGCTCGCTTGTGCGAGTAGAGCAGCAAGGAAATGCAATTGCTCGCTGATGATGCTCGCACAAACGAGGGACTTAACGAACACATGAAAATGAAGAAAACTGAGAATTAGACCATGAATGCTTATGGGAGCTTTATGGTAGCCAGTTAAGGTAAATGTATTATTGAATTGAATAAGTTTTAAGTCTTTCGCATAATGTTTAAGTTATAATTACAATTTTGACTTGAATTAAATACGGAATGAATTTAAATTAGAAATTGTTAACAAAAAAGGAAAAAGTTAGTCGTAATTTTAATTCAACTGCTGTAATCGTAGCTGCGCTTAATACCATATGTGATGATAACTAACTGGTACGTAACGGGGTGTTACAATTCACGATCATCTTAGTCATCCTAGCTTCTCTAAACTTCAACAAATGGTTCCTTTTTGTCCAGTCTTAAGTCATTAAATTGTCAATATTATCAGCAAGGAAAGCATAATCGCTCTTCCTATACAAATGAAGTCAATAAACGAGCTGATGCTCCATTTTCTAGTGTTCATTCTTATATTTGGGATCGGAGTTGAACTATAACTGCTTTGGGTTTTTAGTATTTTGTTACTTTTATTGATGATTTTTCTCGTTGTTCTTAGGTTTTACATAATGAGAAATCGTTCTAAATTATTTTCTATATATCAAAAAAAAATTTGCTAAAATTCATACTCAATTTGGTTTTTCTATTCATATTCCGCATAGTGCTAATAGCAAAGAATATTTATCCTTTGAATTTTAAGAATTTTTTGCCAAAAAGCGAACTTTATATCAAACTACATGTCCTAATAGATCCTAGCCATTATTGAAGACTGGTGCCGAAGTTGAATTATCTTATTGTAACAATACCAAACATCTCTTTTGCGGTAAGTGTGAAAAGTGAATTCCTTGGTTCTCCTTGTGACTCTCATTGGGATGCAATTGTCAGGATTCTCTGATATGTAAAAGGAGCATCAGTAAAAGGCTTATTATAAGGGACACATTGAAGTTTGTGGCTACTCAGACGCTCATTGGGCAAGATCTCCTTTAGACAGATGTTTGGCGTAAGGCTACTGCATTCTCTTTGGGGGAACCTGATATCTTTGAAAAATTAAGAAGCAAACCATGGTAGCTAGATCAAGTACAGAGGATAAATACCGAGTGATGGGAATAGCAACCTCTGTGCTCATTTGATTAAGGCAATTAATTAGAGCACCAAACCTCTACGAACAATAGTCTATGAAATTGATTTGTAATAATCAAACTGTGTTACATACATCATCTCACCTTGTCTTTAATGAGATAACCAAGCATATTAAAATTGACTGCGATTTAATCCGAGAAAAAATTCAATCAAGAGAGATTGAGACAGCATTTGTCAACTCCAACAATCAACTTGCAGATATTTTCACAAGGCTTTTAGGGGTCCCTGGGTTGACTATATTTGTAGCAAGTTTGGTGCCCATAGGATATATGCACCAGCTTGAAGAGGAGTGTGATACGAATCAACCAAGAAAAATTTGAAAACTAAGAAAAGAACAATGAGTCTTGCATTAACAATAGAACTGTGATACAAGCAGAGACAAATTACAAGTAATGAAGAACCAACACATGAAAACTATAAGAACCTGCACCGTTAATTTAGGAAATTAATTAATTAATTATGTGATTAACGAGATAATTCCATAATTGACCCTAATAATTATGAGAAG